ACTACAGGCGGCCCGCGGCACGGAGGCGGGGGGCGCGGCGAGGTTTTGGTATTAGTAGAGGAAAGCGGGTGGCTCACCGTGGCGTTAGCCCAGGAGGTGGGAGCGCCGGGGACCGTCGTGGATGGCGCGCGGTCTCGGGGCCGCCCGCGAAGGGGGATGTACGAGGGCGTTGAGCCCACCGCGGCGCGCGCCTAGGGATACCCGCGTTCGAGGAAGGAACAGCGCGGAGCGTTTGGGCGGAGCGCAGGGAAGTGAGTCGTGGGCCAAGAGGACGAGCAGCAGGAGGGGGACAAGGGAGGCGCGCAGTAGCGCGCCACCAGACTCGTGGGCGAGCAGCTCAGGCGGACGGGCGTCGGCGACAGCTAAGCACCGGGAGCCTGCGCGGGGCCGGCTGGCCTGCCTGGCAGTGTTGGCCCCGTGAGTTTCGGCCCTTCTGATCCTCCAGCCTTAGAGTTCGCCTCTGTTTCGTAGAGGGATGTCGGTACCGAATGGATCGCCCTCCTGGGTGGAAGGCTATATGTGCCTGACAAGGGAGACCGTGCGAGCGCTGCGAAAGATCTAGGAGGGGGAGGAGGTAAGCCTGTGCCTACCACCCGGTTGGTGAGCCACTCCAGCTGGCTCTGTACCACTGACATGTCACGGTGGTGGCCACCTCCACTGGGCCTGGGGTGTGAGGACAAGGGGAGTGCCAGGCTGAGGTCGAGGCCGGGCGAGCGGAGGCCGGAGCGAGATGTTCGAGTGTCTATAGGTTTTTGAAGGGAGGAAGGGTGTGCCAGAATGCAGAAAGTAATACGAAAAGGAGTATGTGAGAGAAAAGGCGAGGGCTGCTCGAAGCCTGAAGAACAAGCCTGTTGGGCTGTTCTCACGTTCTTTCACTCAAACTCAGCTGCAAACACGCGTAGATATCCAAAAAGAGACTATTCGGTCACTCCGTTGATTGTTTATTTCGTTATATTTTTAGTTTGTAGTTTTTTGAGACAGGTCTCCCACTGTCTTTGGGAGCGCTAAACTGGAGTGCGAGTGTTGTAGTCATGCTTACTGGAGCCTTGACTGCTGGTATGTGAGCCTCGGAAGAGGCTAGAAAGGCCTGGCCTAGTTTTTAAAGCGTTTTGTTGTAGAGACAGTGGGTCCTCACTTGCCCGCAGTAGTGAAACGTGACTGAGCTCCAGACAGTGATCCTCCCTCTTTGCCTCCAATCTTGCTAAGAGTTACAGGAGGTGCAGCCAGCCGGATACGGAGAACCAGAGTGTGGCAAGCGGCCGAGATCCAAATCGCAGCACTTGCCCCTGTAGTATATTTGGCAAGCTGCTCATAAGCTCTGCTCGCGTGCATTCTTCAGATCTATAGAAGCGTAGGCCTGGATGGAGCAGTCTGGCCTCATGAGAGCGTGATCGAAGGTAATAGGTAACTTACATCCCACGCAGAAACTCTTAGCCGAGGAGTACGGGCGACACTGAATAAGCTGGTAGCTGCGTTGTATCAGTTTGTTTAGATTTGTACAGTTTTATGTCCGTTGCTGAAGAAGAGCGAGCGAGCGGTGGGCTCTGCCTGTGAGGATTCCAAGAGGTGTTGGAGGCTAAAAATGGAGGAGCGGGCTTGAGCCTAGTAGTGAGACGCAGCCGAGGCGAAGCATGAAAAAGACCTTGTCGTCTAATAAAAAGAGAGAGAGAGAGAGCAGAAAGTGCTGGCGATACAGGGGCTGGACGCCGTAAGTTCGAGCAGATGGCGGAAGGCCTGGGATGGGTGAGCAGATCAATGCGAGGGTCAGGAGATCAAGACCATCCGTGGCGTGTTAAGCACCAGGTGAAACCCCATCTCTACTAACAAATAGCAAAACAATTCGCCGGGCGTGGCGCGGGTGCGGGCCGCCTGTAGTCCCAGCTCCTCGTGAGGCTTGAGGCAGAGAAGAATGGCGGGAACCCGGAGCGGAGCTGCAGTGAGCCCGGAGATTACACCACTGCGCTCCAGCTTGGCAAGCGGAGCGAGACTCGTCTCCCATATAATATAAAAAGTTTAATATTTATAATGCTAGGCCCAGCTGCTTTAGTGCTCTATTTACTCCAGTAATCCCTAGCACTTTTTGGGGATGGTCTTGAGTGCAGTGTGATCAGCAAGTCCGGTCTTTTGGGGAGTCAAGTACCAAATCCCTGGCCAAGGATGGTGAAACCCGAGTCTCTATCTGAAAAATACTAAAAAAGTTTAGCGGTTTGTTTCTAATTGTGGTCTATGTTCTCTGTTTATGATGCTCCAGTCTGTTTTTTTGGGGTGGTGGGGGTTGTGTATTTGCAGGAGCAATCTCTGAACCCAGGGAGGCGGTATGGTGTGCAGTGACCGTTGAGTTTCTGTATCTCTTGACTCTAGCCTGGGTGACACCAGAGCAGTAACGCCTATCTCAGAAAAAAAAAAATTTTATTATTTAGCAATATACACTGGCAGCTGAGGAATGAGATCGCTGTGAGGGGATGGTCGTAAGCCCAGGGAGGCAGAAGTTTGCAGTGAGCCAGATCGGTGCCACTGCTCTTCAGCCTGGCAAGAGAGCCGACCCTGGTCTCAGAAAGAGAAGGCAGCACGGTGGCTCACAGTCTATGTAATCCCCAGCACTTTGGGAGGTCCAAGTGGCGGACTCACTTGAGGTGAGCGAGTTTGAGACAAGCTCCTGAACAACATGGAGAAACCCTGTCTCTTTACTAAAATACAAAATTAGCCGCGTGCATGGTAGGTACATGCTGTAATCCCAGGCTACCTCGGGAGGGCTGAGGCAGGCAGAATCTCTTGAACCTTGGGAGCAGAGGTTGCGGTGAGCCGAGAGGATCGTGCCATTGCACGTCCAGCCAGCGGCAGACAACAGTGAAAACTCCGATCTCAAAAAAAAAAAAAACAAAAACGAAAAGAAAAAGTTAGCTCGACGGGTGTGGCATGCGGCTACTGGGAGCTGAGATGGAGATGCTTGGCCCCAGAGGTCAGGCTGCAGATAAAGCTGTGTTGCGGTGGCCATGCACTCCAGCCTTGGCAACAGAAGTGAAGACCCTCTCAACACAGACAAGCAACAATAATCTGCCGAGGAGGGGCAGATCACTTGAGGTTCCAAGTTTCGTGAGACCAGCCCTGCAACATGGGTGGAAAGCCCGTCTATTTTAGCCAAAAGAATATTAAAAAAAAAAATATAAAAATTAGCCAGGCATGGATGGTGCACCACGTGTAGTCCCAGCTAACTGGAGGCTGAGGACACCAAGAATTGCTTTTGATGGCCCCCAGAGCGTGGAGGCTGGCAGCGAGCCAAGATTGTGCCACTGCACTCCAGCCTGGGTGGCAGAGTGAGACCCCGTCTCAAAAAAAAAAAAAAAAAGACTAGAAGGAAATACACTAATGTATGAACAGTGAAAGATCCTGAATGGTAGGAAAATCTTGATATTTCTTTCTACTTTTCTGTGCTTTCCAAGTTTTTTTTACAATGAATATGTCTTCCTTTTATAATCAGAAAAGGAACAGTATATATTTTTTTGAAAGGAATTTTCAGAATCCATTTTCTAGAGATTTGAGTTAGTGGAGTCCTGATAAAGGACACTTTCCTTTACTTAGTACCACTCTTGATTATGCCTGTGACCCTGCCAAAAGCCATCGATGTTGCCTTTGCCCCACAGGAGAACCCAAAGGATGGCTGCTGACATGCAAAGGAAGAGAAGCAGCGAATGCCCTGATGGCACATTGACTCCTTCTGATGGACACAGTGTGGAGAGAGCTGAGAGTCCCACACCAGGACTGGCCCAGGGAATGGAGCCAGGTATGGGCAAGTGTACAGCCTCAGCCAGCTGCCAACCAGAGCAGGCTCCGGGGGGGTGGGGGCAGAAATTAGCATTCCCAACCACTTTTTGCTTTCCAGTTATTCATGCATTTGTCAGTCACTCATTGGATATTTGTCAGGTTCTGGGGAAAAGGCAGGAGGCCAGGCTCATTCTGCATGTGGCTTTCCTCTCCACTTCGTATGACGCTGTTCGCCCTGAGCCTTCTGGCTGCCATTGTGGGCTCTTCTTCTGTTCCCTGTGTCTACAGCACACCTCCCCGGCTCCTTCTCCCCTCCTCACAAGTTAGGCCTGCTCTGACCATGCTCTGTATAGGACACTAATTATTTCATAATTTTATCTCTTTATGCATATATTGCCCATCTGTCTCTTCCACAAGATTGTGAACACTGAGCATAGGGCAGTTATATCCCCAGTGCCTGATACAGGGCTGAATTCGTAAGAGAGACTCAAAATATATCTGTTAAACTATTTTGTCAAAAAACCAATAAAGGAAGACTGACCTGGTCCCTGCCGTGAGGCAGTCACAGGCTGTGGAGCCATTACAAGGGGTCAGTCAGAAGCTATGGCCTAAGTAGGGTAGGGGAGCTTTCTCCCAGAGAGATTCATTGAGTATGGGTGGTGCTCCAGACACAGGGTGAGGTGCTACGTTCCTGCACCTTGCTGGGTACCATTGTAGCTGGGGAGAAGGACGATAATTGGCAAGTGCCACAAGAGAAATCAAAGAGGGACATATAGAGTGCCTGGGGTTGGAAGTCAGTAACTAACATCTTCCCTGAAAGCTGAAGTGTGACAATTAGCCAGCCACGTGGGGAGATAGGAGACAGCTGACAGCAGGTGTGGAGCTCCCGAGGCAGGTGGGGGCATGTTGAAACTGTCTAAGAGCAGATCTTGGCCAGTGTGACCAAGATGGGCAAGGGAGTAGGGTGGGAGATGGGAATGAGAGGTAGGCAGATACCAGCCACCACTGCTGCCATGAGTGGTTTCGGTCTTCTTTCCAGTATGATGGGAGGAGACTGGTGGGCTGTAAGTTTCAGAGAAGCATCATCCATGGCAGACAGTGGCAGAAGGGAACAGTGGCTTGACCCTGACAAATCAGGCAGTCATGCTGGAGTGACCACGTTAGGCACCTTGCTGGTAGGAGTGTCTGCCAGTAGCTACCCCTCTAAGCACCAGTGCTTTTGGCCTGCAGGTGCTGGGCAGGAGGGTGCCATGTTCGTCCATGCCCGTTCCTACGAGGACCTGACTGAGTCAGAGGATGGGGCAGCTTCTGGGGACAGCCCCAAGGAGGGTGCCAGGGGTCCCCCGCCGCTGCCTGCAGACATGCGTCAGATCAGCCAGGACTTTAGCGAGCTAAGCACCCAGCTGACGGGTGTGGCCCGGGACCTGCAGGAGGAGATGCTGCCAGGAAGCTCTGAGGATTGGCTGGACCCCCCAGGGGCAGTTGGCCGACCAGCCACAGAGCCCCCCAGGGAGGGCACAGCCGAGGGGGATGAGGAGGATGCCACGGAGGCATGGCGCCTGCACCAGAAGCATGTCTTTGTGCTGAGTGAGGCAGGGAAGCCTGTGTACTCCCGCTATGGGTCTGAGGAGGCACTTTCCAGCACTATGGGTGTTATGGTGGCCCTGGTGTCCTTCCTGGAGGCAGACAAGAACGCCATCCGCTCCATCCATGCAGGTGAGCCACCTGGAGAGGGAATGGGGTGGGCTCCCCTGGCCAAGGTTCATTCATAGCAGGTTTTGGACCCCTGCAGACCAGAGGGCTGGGATGTGCTATGTGACTGAGGGTAAGCCCCTCTACCTCTCTGAGCCTCAAGGTCCTCACCTGAACAGAGGATAACAACACTGCTGGCCTCATGGGGCTGTGGTGAGGACCAAAGATGCCTCTGACATGGACTTTGCCTTTGGAGAGAGTGAGAATCTCCCTGGGGAGGTGACAAAAAGAAAGAAAGAAAGAAAAATACATATATGTATCTCCCAGGTCCTGAGCTCCACCCAGCCAGCCCTTGCCAGTTGACTTAGCACTTAGCATAAGAATGTGTGTTTCAGAGGGAGCTAGTCTTTGAAACAAGTGGCAGGGATAGGCCCTGAGCCCTCAGGGAGAAGGAGCAATGGGTTTTTATCCTGAACATCCTTAAGCCCCTACTGTGCGCAGAGCTCTGAGCGAGGAAAGGATGGGCGAAGCGGTGTTCAGAGGGAGCTGCGGCTGAGGCTCATATCCCTCTTTCCCATCCCGCCCTCAGATGGCTACAAGGTAGTATTCGTGCGCCGGAGCCCGCTGGTGCTAGTGGCAGTGGCTCGCACACGGCAGTCGGCACAAGAGCTGGCGCAGGAGCTGCTCTACATCTACTATCAGATCCTGAGCCTTCTTACCGGTGCGCAGCTGAGCCACATCTTCCAGCAGAAGCAGAACTATGACCTACGGCGCCTGCTCTCGGGCTCAGAACGCATCACCGACAACCTGCTGCAGCTCATGGCACGAGACCCCAGCTTCCTGATGGGGGCGGCACGGTGCCTGCCCCTCGCAGCAGCCGTGCGCGATACTGTGAGTGCCAGCCTGCAGCAGGCACGGGCGCGCAGCCTGGTCTTCTCCATCCTGCTGGCCCGCAACCAGCTCGTAGCACTTGTGCGCCGAAAGGACCAATTTTTGCACCCCATCGACCTGCACCTGCTTTTCAACCTCATTAGTTCCTCCTCGTCCTTCCGCGAGGGCGAGGCCTGGACGCCCGTGTGCCTGCCCAAATTCAACGCAGCCGGCTTCTTCCACGCACATATCTCTTACCTAGAGCCTGACACCGACCTCTGCCTGCTGTTTGTCTCCACTGACCGTGAGGACTTCTTTGCAGTCTCTGACTGCCGCCGCCGCTTCCAGGAGCGCCTTCGCAAGCGTGGAGCCCACCTGGCCCTGCGAGAGGCGCTGCGCACACCCCACTACAGCGTTGCCCAAGTGGGCATCCCTGACCTGCGTCACTTCCTCTATAAGTCAAAGAGCTCGGGACTCTTCACCAGGTGAGGGAGGGCCTTGAGGGCACTGCTGTAGGGGGACAGGGACATGTGGAGTTGGGAGGCTGTTTGCTCCTGAGCTCTGAGATGTAGCCATGAAGCTGCCCCCATCTTTGGAAGCAGACCAGTGTGCTGGGTCTGTTTTACTCTGGCACCAGAGACTCACACTCTCCATCACCCTATGAGCATACCCCTCTCTACTTTATTACCCAGAAGGCCTGGAAATGCCCAGTATACCCAGGGAAGGAAACTGGAACAGAGGTCTCTCAGGTCCCTTGTCCTAGAGCAACTCTACTTTAGGCGTCAGTTTGGTCCAGCTCAGGAAGCAGAGCCCTCCTCTACTCCCTCCCCCAGCAGAGGGGCTGGGAAGATATGGCCTTCCTTTGTCCCTTTTGGCCCACAGGATTCCTAGTTCACTTTCCTCTACTCCAGATCTGTCACTCTGTCTTGGACATCTAAACTCAACCTGGCTTCTCCAAAGAGGGGTCACCAAAGACACCATGAGCTTAGGGGGTAAGAGGGGACACAGCTCTAGTCTCAGTGGGCCCAGCTCTGTCCTGGAGTGCCTGCTGTGGTGGGGAGACAATGCCCTGTCCTAAGGGAGTATTTGGAGGGTAAGACATATGATAGAGTCTTCCTGGATAGGAAGAGGTGTTTCTAAATCTCTAGAGAAGACAGTGGAAGTCATTCCTTTGCAAACCTACTCCCCCCAACCCTGTCTGCAGCCCTGAGATTGAGGCCCCGTACACCAGTGAAGAGGAGCAGGAGCGGCTGCTGGGCCTCTACCAGTACCTGCACAGCCGTGCCCACAATGCCTCTCGCCCACTCAAGACCATTTACTACACGGGCCCCAACGAGAACCTCCTGGCCTGGGTAAGGCAGCCCTGGGATGGGCTGGGCTTCACAGAGGTCCTAGGTGTGGGCCATGAGAGGCATCTAACCTAGATGATGACCCTTTGCCCCTTCTCCAGGTGACAGGCGCCTTTGAGCTCTACATGTGTTACAGCCCCCTGGGGACCAAGGCATCAGCTGTCAGTGCCATCCATAAGCTGATGCGCTGGATCCGCAAAGAGGAAGACCGCCTCTTCATTCTCACGCCCCTCACCTATTGATGGGAATGTGTGCAGGCTCGGCCTTCCCAGGCACACTGGGTGTGGGAAGCCGTAGGAGCCTCCAGATGGGGGCTGGCCTCTCTTGCCCAGCCAGCAGGCAGGGACTGTGGGTTGGTGAGTGCATTAAAGTGCTTTGGGGAAGACACTTGTCAAGCCCTGTCACTTGTCCCTTCGCCCATCCACCCTCACTCACATACAGACACTGGATCCTCCTCCCTAGCTCCTGCACAGGGGCACAGGCACATTTGAGCCCCTCTTCTCCCTCCCTTGCAGCAGCATGAGGCCACACACATTCTCAGTTGGATCTTGGGCTGGGGCTGTTTTGGTTCGGCTGAAGTCCTACCATATGTAAAAGGCTCTCAGGCACCATACTGCCCTACCCTACCCCCACCCCCATACTCAGTCTGAGCTTCTGCTGTCTGCCTCTCTTATCACTCCTGGGAGGGGCCCCCACTGCATGCCACAAAAGGCTACCCAACCACTTTGGGAGCCCTCGCTGTGGCTCTGTTTAATGGGTTGCTGTAGTTCAGCAGGAGCTGAGCTGAGTAAGATAGAGATGGTCAAAATGGGGGGAATCTGAGTCCTGGTACTGGAGGGAGCCCCTGGTGAGGCAACTCAGTCTTCAGCTGAAATTCAGAATCTAGCCTCCCTTTAGCTGCAGGCCTCTGAGGAAACTGTCCCTGCTTAGGCCTTCCCATGAAGGGCTGTGTGCCTCAGTTCTCCTACCTCAGCCAGTGCAATCCTCCAAATGGTCCCCAAGAGTGAGCTGAGGGTCTGAGAGAAGGCCCAGTTGACCCTCTAAGGCAGTGGGCCTGTCATAATAAGAGCTAATGCTACTGCGTGCACTGGGCTCTCCTTAGTCACCCTAGTCCCTGGTATGGCATAGGCAGACCTGCATGGGGCACCATGGACATCCAGGAGGCTCCGCAGTGAAAGCCGAGCCCCATTTACTCTACCACAGGACCTAGGGCACAGTGCAGAAAGCTTCCACTTTGCTGCTGGGGGATCTTCTAGTTCTGGCCCCAGGGAGCACAAGGCCTAGGAAGTACTTATTGAAGAAAACTGTCCTCTGAATGTGGTCTTCAGACTGTCAGAGAGAATCACCCTCATGCAGTTTCTGAGAGTTGGGCCAGTATTTTCTGCCACTAAAATCAAGCCATGTTGAAGAATAAGCCTGTGTGGGTGGCATGGGCCCAGGGTACACTGGAACAGTTGTATTTATTGTCCCAGAAAATGGCAGCACAGCCCCTGCCCTTGGCCCCACTGTGGCTCACATTGGAATGGACATGGCAGCAGGCTACCAGCCCAGATTCCAAAGCCTCTGGGGAGCAGCCATAGGTTTGGTGGGTGCTGTTCACCCTGCCACACATGCCCTGGTTCTCTTTTATGCCTGTTTTCTGCTTTTGTTCCTCTTCTGCTCCTAGTAAGAACATCAAACCACTGCCTCTGGGGCCTGGGTGATGCCAGGCTAGCTGTCCCTGACTGTTACTGGCATTCTGGTCAATAGTGAGCCCCTAAGTGCCTCTTTTGCTTGCCCTGACTCTTGTAGGTTTCTGTTTCTCTGTAGTTCAGCATATATTCTGGGGAGACCATAGTTGGACCATAGTTGGATACAGACCTAGGACTGTAGGCATCTAGGAGCGTGAGGTATACCTGCTTGGAGATCACGGGTGGGACGATAGGCAAATAAGGAAGGTGTTCCTAGTGAAGGAGCCAGCATGTGCCAAGGGAAGGACATGGTAAGAACCCTGTACGGGCCGGACATGGTGGCTCACACCTGTAATCCCAACACTTTAGGAGGCCAAGGTGGGTGTATCACTTGAAGTCAGGAATTCGAGACCAGCCTGGCCAACATGGTGAAACCCTGTCTCTACTAAAAATACAAAAATTAGCTGAGTGTGGTGGCGTGCACCTGTAGTCCCAGCTACTCAGGAGGCTGAGGCAGGAGAATTGCTTGAACCCAGAAGGCGGAGGTTGTAGTGAGCCGAGATTGCGCCACTGCACTTTATAGCCTGGGCGACAGAGAGAGACTCCGTCTCAAAAAAAAAAAAAAAAAAAAAAGGAACCTAATATAACTTGTTTGCAGTGAAGCTGGAGGAGTCCATAAGGGCTGGGGTTCTCAAACTCCAGGTAACCTGCAGTGTGATGTGGTCATATTACAGTTGGAGAGACTACCTTGCTACTGCTAAGGTGATCTTGGGATTAGAGAAAGAGGCTAGACCTAGTCCTCTAGAACAGTGTTCAGAGGGGACTGAGAGCTCAAGGAGGGAAAAGTGGCTAGCATTCCTTCAAGCCGTCAGGTGCTAAGGGCAGTCGAGCAGGTTCTTAGCCAGCTATGGGCCAGGCCTCGTGAGTTTACCATGGGGGTGCCCTTGTACTTGGCACTTAAGAGCCCCATTAGCTGACTTTCCCCACACACCTTGACTGCTCCCTCCTACAGAGGCGGCAGATGGCGAGACGGGGAAGGGGTGCTCCTGTGTACCCGTGCTGTTGAGAACCAAGGCTGCCTTAGAGGGGACCTCAGCCTGGGGACAGCCATTAGCGTGGCCACACGGTGGCAGCAGAGAACTAACGAATGGTTGCTGCAACCCCACCCCCAAAAAGGGGTGGGTGGGGTGATTTAAGAGGTCTTGTGAAGTCTCCTCCCAACCCCCAGAGATCCTTCTGAAAGTCTGGAGGTGGGATTTGGGTCACCAGAACCCCTGTCTGGGCGCCAGGCTGAGAATGTTTCATTTTAGTTTTGCCCTGCCTATCTTTAGATGTGTTGACTGTGGAATGCAGGAACCATGCCACGGTTTTCTCAGGGTGTTTATTCATTTCCTGGCCAATTCTGCTTTGGAAAAGGAGTGTCTTTTATGTCACCTCAGGGCACAGTATCAACCCTGCACTGGGTGTGGCTGCCCCCAGTTCCATTTCCTCTTTCAGTCTTCAGGTACTCATGGAGCTCCAGGCTGGAAGGAGGGGGAAGTCCTGCACTGGGGATGGAGGCAGAGTGAAGTATCCAGAGTAAACTGTGCTGGGGTGGGTGTAGCACTGGGTCTGTGGAACCCAGGAGAGGGGCCTGGCAAAGTCTGGATCAAAAAGGCTTCCTGGAGGAGGTGCCATTTAGGTGGCAAAAGGAGGAAAGGGAAAGAGTGCTCCTGGAAGGAGGAACAGCACTTACAAAGGTTAGGTTAGGAAGGGGATGCAGGCGCAGAAGTATGGACTGAAAAGAGAGTGAGGAGATATAGATACCCAAGCCAGGCTAAATCCTGTTGGACCGAGGGCTCCTCTCTCCCCTAGAATCCTTATCCTCTACAGCCTTGGGGCCCATAGTTCACAGCCCAAAGCCACCCTGTGGACCTTCCCCTTCTTCCAGGGTCCAGGCCCACCTAGCTGAGGGGGCTGTCAGGCTAAGGTTGTCCCCCAGGGGCCTCAGTCTAGTGTTGGTAGGACCAGTTACCAAAGGGCAGCTGCTGAGATCCAGGTGTGGGACTAGGCTCCCCCACCCCCACTCCTCATAAATAGAAGAGAGAACTCTGGGAAATCACCTAATCGGAACTACATTTTCTTTTTCTCTTTTTTTCTGGAGATGGAGTCTCGCTCTGTCGCCCAGGCTGGAGTGCAGTGGCACAATCTCAGCTCACTGCAACCTCCACCCCCCAAGTTCAAGCAATTCATTCTCCCTGCTCAACCTCCTGAGTAGCTGGGATTACAGGTGCCCACCACCACACCCGGCTAATTTTTGTTTTTAGACCATCTTGTTTCACCATATTGGCCAGACTGGTCTTGAACTCCTTACCTCAAGTGGTACACCTGCCTCGGCCCCCCAAAGTGCTGGGATTACAGGCGTGAGCCACCACGCCCGGTCATACATTTTATTTTTAAATTTTTAGCAGTTTTTTTGTTTTGTTGACTTTTGTTATGTTGCCCAGGCTGGTCTTGAACTGCTAGCCTCAAGCAATCCTCCTGCCTTGGCCTCTCAAAGTTAAGTGCTAGGATTACAGGCATGAGCCACAGTGCCCAGCCCAGAACTACATTCTCACATTCTCATTGCAGAGAATAAGATCCAGCAAGGCCTACAGAGCAGGTTGGAAGTGTCCTGAGAGCCAAAGCTCATGATTCCTCCATATCAGGGGTGCACTGGGCAGAGCCAGGAAGGGGGAGTCCCCAAGGCCCATATTGTGGATTGTAACCCCATTATACAGCTTCTATATACTGAGGCTGCAGAGGAGGTACCAGAATTAGGGTTGGGTCTCCACTTATGTGACTCTCTGACTCTGAGGTCCAGTCAGCAAGGCCAGATCCCATCCTAAGACCCTTAGGGCCCTAGGAGAGCAGGGCATAACACACCTTCCTCTGAGACCATCTTGTTGCTGATAGCTCAGGAGAAGCACATGGAAGAATGGTCCCCACCAGGCGCGGTGGCTCACGCCTATAATCCCAGCAGTTTGGGAGGCCGAGGGGGGCAGATCACCTGAGGTCAGGAATTTGAGACCAGCCTGGCCAACATGGTGAAACCCGTCTCTACTAAAAATACAAAATTAGCCAGGTGTTGTGATGCACGCCTGTAATCCCAGCTATTCAGGAGGTTGAAGCAGGAGAATCGCTTGAACCTGGGAGGCGGAGCTTGCAGTGAGCCGAGATCGCGCCACTGCACTCCAGCCTAGGTCACAGAGCAAAAAAAAAAAAAAAAAAGGACAGTCCTTTCCCACAAAGGGTGGCGCCTCATAACATCTCTTGTTAAGTGCCCCACATCTCCCCTCTGGTCTTCCACACAATCCTGGTCTCTGTTCCCCACATGGCGGGCCCCCAGGAAGCCTCTGGGCACCAGCCTCTGAGGGTGTTGCTACTAAGTGCAAACTAGTTCCACCACAAGCAAAGAGCCCAGTGTCCTGCCCCCTCTCGCTGCGAACCAGTCGGTAGTGGGGGGATGGGATGGGACGGTTCAGACCGGCTCACCTCTCTCTAGGCCGCACCATGCGCATCCACCCACAGGCCGCTGAGAAAAAGGCGCCAAGACGCCAAGAGAAGGTACAGGAGCCAGGCTTCCAAGGGCCGGAAGAGTCGGATGGGTGGAGGGCCTGGGGTAGGCCACGCCTCCCTCGCGGCCCCGCCCCCACGGCCCGACCCCGCCCGCCCAGCCCGGCGCCCTCTGGTCGGCTGAGCGCTAAGCGCCAGTGTGCAGCGGCTGCTGGGGCGGCAGGTGAGGCGGCTGGGGCATTGCTGTCCGTGCGTCCGCGGGCGTCAGGCGCCCAGACCCGAGGGCCGGGAAGGGATTTGGGTTTCGCAGGAACCTGGGACGGGGGTCCGCTATCTTGGGGCTGTCGGGACCGCCGCTTAAAGTTGGCCCAGTCCAGACCTCGAGTCGGGCCCCCAAACAGGCCCGGGCCCAGGCCCAGGCCCAGGCCCGTAGGGATCCCCTAGGGTCCCAGCTTGCCTCGATGGAGCTCCTCCCTCCGCTGCCTCAGTCCTTCTTACTGCTGCTGCTGTTGCCTGCCAAGCCCGCGGCGGCCAAGGAATGGCAGTGCCCGCGCACCCCCTACGCGGCCTCTCGAGACTTTAACGTGAAGTACATGGTGCCCAGCTTCTCCGCCGGAGGCCTGGTGCAGGCCATGGTGACCTACCAGGGCGACAAAAATGAGAGTGCTGTGTTTGTAGCCATACGCAATCGCCTGCACGTCCTTGGGCCTGACCTGAAGTCTGTCCAGAGCCTGGCCACGGGCCCTGCTGGGGACCCTGGCTGCCAGACGTGTGCAGCCTGTGGCCCAGGCCCCCACGGCCCTTCCGGTGACACAGACACAAAGGTGCTGGTGCTGGAGCCCGCGCTGCCTGCCCTGGTCAGTTGTGGCTCCAGCCTGCGGGGCCGCTGCTTCCTGCATGACCTAGATCCCCAAGGGACAGCCGTGCATCTGGCAGCGCCAGCCTGCCTCTTCTCAGCCCACCATAACCGGCCCGATGACTGCCCCGACTGTGTGGCCAGCCCATTGGGCACCCGTGTGACTGTGGTTGAGCAAGGCCAGGCCTCCTATTTCTACGTGGCATCCTCACTGGACGCAGCCGTGGCTGCCAGCTTCAGCCCACGCTCAGTGTCTATCAGGCGTCTCAAGGCCGACGCCTCGGGATTTGCACCGGGCTTTGTGGCCTTGTCAGTGCTGCCCAAGCATCTTGTCTCCTACAGTATTGAATACGTGCACAGCTTCCATACAGGAGCCTTCGTCTACTTCCTGACTGTACAGCCGGCCAGCGTGACTGATGCTCCTGGTGCCCTGCACACACGCCTGGCACGACTTAGCGCCACTGAGCCAGAGTTGGGTGACTATCGGGAGCTGGTCCTCGACTGCAGATTTGCTCCGAAACGCAGGCGCCGGGGGGCCCCAAAGGGCGGACAGCCCTACCCTGTGCTGCGGGTGGCCCACTCTGCTCCAGTGGGTGCTCAACTTGCCACTGAGCTGAGCATTGCTGAGGGCCAGGAAGTGCTATTTGGGGTCTTTGTGGCTGGCAAGGATAGTGGCCCTGGCGTGGGCCCCAACTCTGTCGTCTGTGCCTTCCCCATTGACCTGCTGGACACATTAATTGATGAAGGTGTGGAGCGCTGTTGTGAATCCCCAGTCTATCCAGGCCTCCGGCGAGGCCTCGACTTCTTCCAGTCACCCAGTTTTTGCCCCAACCCGGTGAGCTGAAAGAAGGGGCCCTTACTTGTGAGCTGCATGCACGTGGCTGAACACAGGCTGCTTCCCTTCCATCACTGAGGGGATCTGGGAGGGGGAGGGCAGGTGGAAAGAAGCATTCTCTCTCACCCAGTTCCTAAGTGCTGGGGTGGTTTGAGAAAGCAGCCAGACAAAGGCTACACTGGAGGCTCGGCTCCCAGCCAGGCTGGCCCTTGTGACTACCTCATTTTGCCCTTTCCCCTATCTGCCCATCATGGCCTCTGGTTTTTTAGTTTCCCTGGCTATGTGAGGATGGGGTTACATAACCGTGTCTCTGTTAGCATAGCTCCTGAATGCTGGGTAGAATGATGGGCATTCCCTCCTACTTGTCCACCATCCATATCCTCAGGGACACACGCAAAAAAATAGCGCCCCCCTCACCCACCACCACCACCACCACCACACACAAATACACAGGGAGATGCTCACAGATTCACAGACTCACAGCTGCTTGCCAACAGTTTCACTTTCCCTTGTTTTGCTCTGCTTTCCAAAGAGGGTGGGACAAGAGTTGTCAGAGAATCTCCCCTTCCTCCACACCCACCCCCATCCTTCTGCCAGCCACCACGTTCCAGGGAGCCTCCTGGGCCTTGGAAGTTGGCAGCTTGTTAGGGAGCCTGCATGTCCTGGGCTTCACTAACCTGTTTGACATGATTGGGGGTAATTGGGGGGAGTACCCAGCACTCATGGGATGGCAGCTTGGTTCTAGAAGGTTCCGGGAGCCTCACTCTAGTCTTGTGCAAGCTACTATAAACATCTGGGGAAGGCCTAGGAAGGGCTGGTTGGAATTGGTCCGTCCCAGACTTTTTTTTTTTAAAAAAAAACCATATTTGGAGCCCTGCCCCAGGCAGGAAGTCTCAAAGCCCGTGCTGAACTGGGGGCTCCTTCCAACAGACTCTATCTAGGCTCTCTCCAGCCATCGTGTAGGCAACAGCAATAAGATTGGACCAAGGAATGGGACCCACAGCTACTGCTCTCATATTCTCTAGCCATCATCCTGTGGCCCTGGGCCTGCTGTGACATTCTCGACAGATTCCTTTCCACTCCTATTGATGCCTCGGAGATGGGAGGAGAACTTACACCCAATGTGAGGTTGGGGGTCTTTAGCCTCCCTCCCTCTGCTGAGTACATCTGGGTTGAGAGGCTTTAGGGTTGGGGACTCCTTGTCTGGGCCTGGGCAGGCCTGCCTGGCCCCTTCTCCTTCCCAGTGGGGAGTCAGAACCTCTCCCCAGCTTGGCTAGTGGTCAGTGGGTCAGAAGACACCCAGCACGGCTGGGCAGTGCCAGGCTCCAGGAGGACTAATCTTGGTCCCTGCCCACAGGCTGGCCAGGCCCCCAGGAGGTGTGTGAATCACTCTGTACAGTGTTTGCCTAGCAACTGTGGGCATGCAGCCACTGGGGCAGCACCCACATAGTGGTTGGCCTCAGGAGGCCTGAGGGACTCAGAGCTGGTGCCTGTCCTCCATGGGACATTGGACACTTATGTGTTTTCAGGAGCCTGGAGCCCCTACCTAAGCCTGGGAACCTAGAGCTAAGGTCCTGGGGCCTAGAGACAAGCAGGCTAGGGTGTGGGCCTGGCTAAGGTAGGGCTCTATTCCCCGTCAGAGCCCCACCTGTCCCTGAGTCATGCTGGAAACACCTGGCAGGCTTCCAGCTCAGGCCAAGCCAAGCCGATTTCCTGCCTCAAGTGAGGACAAAATCCCAGTCCCCCCCACCCAAGCTGTAGGCGCAGGGTGTATGGGGTTTCAAGGCTCAGCTCCACATCTACTTTTGCCTCCAGGGCTGCTAATCAGTGCTGAGGTCTCAGGACTGGGTTAAGTCTCTGTGGTCTGATGGAGACTTCAAAGGCTCCTGCTTTAAGGAGTGCCCTCAGGGCTGGTGAGGGAGAGTCCTGAGCACCTAGGGCTGACTACTGAGCCCCGTCTGCACCTCACACTCAGCTCCAACACCGTGAGTTCATACCCTGGTGTCCTGGTTTCCCAGAGCTTCCACAGTCTGCCCTGGGGCATGACTGCAGCCCCCAAAACACCCCCTTGCTAAGAGCAGGGGAGAGGTTAGTACCCCTTAGCTTCCAGAACTTAGTTCTGGCACCCAGGCTGTAGGGGTTTGGTTTATCCCTTTTGTACCCTAAAGGGGGGTATAGGAAGCAGCCAAGGGTACAGGAAGACCTTTGGAGTCTAGGGAGAAGGACCGTGTTCCCAACCTTGTGCTGGCCAATTAATGCAAGTGGGGAAACCGAAGCCCAGAGGAGACAGGGTTTGCTGAAGTGCACGCAGAGAAGCAGAGAAGAGCCAGCAGGGGGCAGGAGAAGACTCTTGTGGAGCTGAGACTTCCAACTTGGTTCCCCTCTTGAGCATTTATGATCAGCCTTGGACAAGAGACCAAACCTCTTGAGCCTGTTTCCTCATCTGTAAGATGTATGGGGTGGGCCAGCCACAGTGGCTCATGCCTGTAATTCCAGCACTCTGGGAAGCCAAAGTGGGCAGATCACAAGGTCAGGAGTTCGAGACCAGCCTGGCCAACATCGTGAAACCCCATCTCTACTAAAAATACAAAAAATTAGCCGGGGTGGTGGCGAGCACCTGTAATCCCAGCTACTCCGGAGGCTGAGGCAGGAGAATCACTTGAACCCGGGAGGTGGAGGTTGCAGTGAGCCAAGATCATGCCACTGCACTCCAGCCCCACCAACAATGTGAGACACTGTCTCAAAAAAAAAAAAAAAAAAGATATACGGGGTGGTTGTGAGGATGGAATGGGGGTAACTCACCATAAGGATGGACATGGCAAGGTAGGGCAGGAAGAATGGGGAGCGGGCCTTCCAGCCTGGACCTTCTGCCTGCCCTTGCTACACTGAGAGCCATGTGGGCGCAATGCGAGATGGTAACCGGCAGGCCCAGGGCCTTCTCCAGTCAGGCCAGGTGAGGGGTGAGAGTGTTGGGCTGCTGTGGCCACTGACAAAGGCCCCAAAGGGTCGGGGCACAGGGCTGAACCCTGACTCATTCCCTTACCTGACTTTTCCCAGCCTGGCCTGGAGGCCCCCAGCCCCAACACCAGCTGCCGCCACTTCCCTTTGCTGGTCAGTAGCAGCTTCTCACGTGTGGACCTATTCAACGGGCTGTTGGGAACAGTAGAGGTCACTGCACTGTATGTGACACGCCTTGACAACGTCACAGTGGCGCACATGGGCACAGCGGATGGGCGTATCCTGCAGGTGGGTCCTCATCCCCACAGCCCCCTGGCCCTGGGTCTTTGTCTCCATCCCCATTTTGCTCACATCTAACCTGTCCTAGGTGGAGCTGGCCAGGTCACTCAACTACTTGCTGTATGTGTCCAACTTCTCACTGGG